AACTTGACGAATTTATCAGGGATATCTATTTCCTTGTACATACTTTTTTATTTTATTTTTTTTGTATGGAGTCTTGCTCTGTCTCCTAGGCTGGAGTGCAGTGGCATGATCTTGGCTCACTGCAACCTCCACCTCCTAGGTTCAAGTGATTCTCATGCCTTAGCCTCCCAGGTGACTGCCACCATGCTTGGCTAATTTTTGTATTTTTAGTAGAGACAGGGTTTTGCCATGTTGGCCAGGATGGTTTTGAACTCTTGATCTCAAGTGATTCACCTGCCTTGGCCTCCCTAAGTGCTGGGATTACGTGCATGAGCCACCGCACCTGGCCAAGGCCCAAGGGCTCTTTAATCAGCAGGTGATGAATCCTGCTAGGACAGTGTCCTTCCTTTCAAGATAGCAGATTATCTTCTGCCCAGGGTGTGTATAGAAATGTTTTCAGGGAGTTAGTGTCTGAAATGGGGGCCTTGTGACTCTGCCTGCTCCGCTATTGTGGCTGAGCTGTTATCTGAGTTGCAAAACAAAGTCCTCTTTACTCTCCCCTCTTCTCTTCTCAAGCAGGAAGAAGGAGTAACTCTCCAGAGTTATGAGCTGTGCTGCCTGGGTGCAGAGAGGAGTGCTACAAACACTCTATTGGCCACCCCAGCAGGAGATCTCACTAGATCATATGTATCCCAGGTCCACTGGCTTCAAGCCCAGCACAGCACCAGAACTTGCCCAGGAATGACAGTCCTTGTGGCCTACACTGCCTTTCAAGTTTATTTAGCACCCCAGAGTGCTTTAGCCCACAGTACCAGGGCTAGCTGGAACTCAGGTTTGGACTGCTGGGATGGGCAACTCCCCTTTGGCTACACTGGTCTAAATGCTCCCTCCATAGGCACTGACTGAATTCTGCCCTGTGTTGGTTTCCACTGTGGTAGGCAGCACTGAGTTCCAAATCTGCACACCTAGGGGACTGCAGTGATTGTGGGATGCAAATCAGTGCACTTCTCCAGGTATACAGATTCTCTGTACCATGTGGCTGCTGCCACTGCCTAGGAATGGGAGAGAGGTGATGTTGGCAATTCTACTCTTTCTTCCCCCTTCAGTGCCTCTTTCCTTAATAATGTTAAAACCAGGTCTGTGATTGCTCACCTGATTTTTGATTCTTATGAAAGTGCTTTCTTGTATGGATAGTCATTCAGTTTGGTGTTCCTGCAGGGACACTAACTGGAGGGCTCTATTTGGCCATCTTGCTTCGCCTCCTAAGACTTTTTTAACGTAACTTTCTTGAAAGATGAATTTTTCCCCCCCAGATACATGTCCTGAAACTGAACAAAATGGAACTGTTACCATTTCATGCTGATGTGGAGATTGGCCAGATTATAGAAATCCCCATTGCAATGTATCACGTAAATAAAGAGACTAAAGAAGCTATGGCATTCACAGACTGCTCTCATTTATCCTTGGATCTGAACATGGATAAACAAGGAGTCTTTACTCTTCTCAAAGGAGGTAAAAGTAGCCTTTTTATCTTCTCCTTCCTTTGTCTTTATGTATCTTTAACTTTACCACTGTAACATATTACTTCCTTTCTCTTTAAGGAAGCAATCAACAGTTCAGAAACTGCCAATTATAGTCTGAAGTCACATTTTACTTTTGTTTATAATACTTTTATTTCATCAAATGCCTTGTAGTAAGTGTTATACTCCTCATTTTACAGATGTAGAAATAAAGGCACAGAAATTGAATAACATTGTAGCTGGATGATACCAGTTTTTGTTTGTTTGTTTGTTTATCTGCTTTAAGACAGAGTCTCACTTTTGTCACCCAGGCTGGAGTGCAGTGGATCTTGGCTCACTGCAACCTCCGCTTCCCGGGTTCAAGCGATTCTCCTGTCTCTGCCTCCCAAGTATCTGGGATTACAGATGCCCACAACCACATCTGGCTAATTTTTGTATTTTTAGTAAAGATGGGGTTTCACCATGTTGGCCAGGCTGGTCTTGAACTGCTGACCTCTTGATCTGCCTGCCTTGGCCTCCGTGCTGGGATTACAGGTGTAAGCCACCACACCCAGCCTGTTTTTATTTTTATTATAATTATTATTAGAGACAGGTTCTTGCTGTGTCACCCAGGCTGGAGTGCAGTGGTGCAATCATAGATCACTGTAACATCGAACTCCTGGGCCCAAGCTATCCAATCTCAGCCTTTCAAGTAGCTGAGATTACAAGGGCAAGCTCAGTATCAGATTTTAGTTCACAGTAAGATTTTCCCTTTCTAGCCTCAAGCTCTTTTCTTCTTTCCCTAATATACATACCATATGTCTTTCAAAGAGGAATGTAAAGCCATTTAATATATACATACATTAAATTTATTGAAAAAGGATAAAATATTTTTCTAATAAAACAGTAAATATGAATAAACTATTCATAAAAGTCAACATTCTTTCCTGCTATCGAACTTCATATTTGATGCTGATTCCCATTGTTTTTTCATCAGTATAATGAGAGTAGTAACATCTAAGATTTTCTTAGCATTTACTCTTTGCCAAGCTCTGTTCTGCATACTTTTTATACATTAACTATTTAATTCTTACATCTATCAAATTGGACTTTTATTTTGCTTTTGCTCATTATGCTACATACATACGTACATACTCTCACATCTCTCTTTTTTCCCCTCAGAGCATCTCTTCTAATTTTTAGACCCTTATTTCCCATGTGGGACAACAAAATCCTTCTGACTATTCTTACCTCTGGCTACCACATGGATCTTCATGAACTCAAGTTTGATATTATTTTTTCTCCTCAAAAATTTTGAAAGACTTATTGCCAGTGAAATGGAGTCAAAATCTTTTAGTTTGGTATTCAAGATTCCTCTACAATATAACCCAATCTACTTTTCATTATTTCATACTTTTGCTTCATATATGGTTCTAACTAAATCAAGTTCTTTATTTATTTTTATTTTTATTTTTTTGTTTTGGTTTTTTGGTTTGTTTTTTTTTTGAGACAGAATCTCACTCTGTCGCCCAGGCTGGGATGCAGTAGCTCCATCTTGACTCACTGAAACCTCCGCCTTTTAGGTTCAAGCAATTCTCATCCCTCAGCCTCCCAAGTAGCTGGGCCTACATGCACATGCCACCACACCTGGCTAATTTTTGTATTTCTGTAGCAGTTTAGTAGTTTCACCATGTTGTCCAGGCTGGTCTTGAACTCCTGACCTCAAGTGATCCGCCCACCTCAGCCTCCCAAAGTGCTGGGATTACAGGCGTGAGCCACCATGCCTTGCTAAACCAACTACTTTAAATTCTCTCATATATATCTCTCATATTCTCATTTCTATCTCATTTGTATTTTTTTGTTCATTCTGTTTTCTCAGCGTGAGATACTTTAAACTTTCCTTGATCTCTCCAGCTTGAAATAATCTATTTTCTAGACTTCTATAGTATTTATCACTTTCTATTAATGTTTTAAGTGAATTATTTACATGTTCACTTTCCCCTTGAAACTATAAATGCTTGAGGTCAGGATCTTTGCTCATATATGTATGTATATATATACACACATTCTCACTGTACATAGAACTGTATCTCATACATGTTTCTCAATAGAAATAACACTTTTATATCAACTTGATATAAAGGGCCTAATGGTTAATGTAAGAGATCAGGTGGTTTTGTTTTATTTTGGTTTGTTTTTTTGAGATGGAGTCTTGCTATTGTCACCCAGGCTGGAGTGCAGTGGCACATCTTGGCTCCTGCAACCTCCACCTCCTAGGTTCAAGCAATTCTCCTTGCCTCAGCCTCCCAAGTAGCTGGGATTACAGATGCCTGCTATCATGCCTGGCTAATTTTTGTATTTTTAGTAGAGACGGGGTTTCGCCATGTTGGCCTGGCTGGTCTCAAACCCCTGACCTTAGGTGATCCGCCTGCTTCGGCCTCCCAAAGTGCTGGAATTACAGGTGTGAGCCTCCACATCCGGCCAAGATTGTATTAAAATTCTTATATTTCTGTAGCTTAATTTCCTTTAGAATTAACTGCTTCTTATCCCATGAAATTATATTTGTTTTGGGTTGGTTTTTTTTAAGCAGGGTCTTACTCTGTTGCCCAGGCTGGAGTGTAGTGGCACAATTATGACTCACTGCAGCCTCGACTTCCTGGACTCAAGCTATCCTCCTTCCTCAGCCTCCTGGGTATCTGGGTCTACAAGTGTATGCCACCATGCCTGGATAATGTTTTTATATTTTATAGAGACGGGGTTTTGCCATGTTTCCCAGGCTGGTCTTGAACTTCTGAGCTCAAGCAGTCTGCCTGCATCAGCTTCCCAAAGTTCTGGGATTACAGGCCTGAGCCACCACACCCTGCCAAGATCATGTTTTTTTGATTTACAGGTATTCAAAGACCTGGACCAGTGCATTGTTCCAGTATATATATGGCAGCTAAATCACTCGGCCATACTCTGGTAACAGTAAGTGTGAATGAATGTGAAGAGTACTTGGAGAGCAGTGCCACATTTGCTGCTTATGAACCCCTAAAGGTAAGATATTTCATGGTAAGGAACTGGCATTTCTTTTAACGGACTCAACCATGTCCACATGGGCTTGCTAGCTATCTGTGGTCTCTACTAAGGATCAATGATATTTATATTCTTTTTACTTGCTATTCTTTTGTTTTGAGATCTATAGCTCTCTCCTCAAACCTGTCTCCAGGGAGTTTACTCCTTCATGCTTCTGTCACAGGAATATCTTTAAGTTGTATCAGAAAGTTTTACATATTCCCCTTCTTTTTTACTGAGGCATAAAATATATACAGAAAAGTTCACAAAGTACACTAATCTTAAGGTGGTATCTGCATTTTTACATGTGCCTGTATCTCTCTAAATACCAAGACTGGCATATTAGCATACTCCCTTTTGAAGAACTCTGAAAGATAATTTCTGTCCTATGGAAGGAAGTCAATCATCTTTTACCCTATATACTTAGGGATTTTAAACACAGAAGCCATTATATTGTGCCCTAAGGACTGATTCATTATAATGGAGATAGTATGATGATAAGTGGTTCTGAGGCAGTGGCAGCCTGTCTGGAGCAGCTGCTGCCATCACATCAGCTGCAGCAAGGAGGTGCAGGTATGGCTGCACACTCTGTGGAGCCATTTACAGCTGAGGCCAAGTGGGACCCCTGGAAGTCCCACTCCTTCTGAGTTGGTGGGGCAGGAGCTCCCTGGGTGCAGCCCAAGTCATGGCTGCGGACCGAGGCCTCCTGCTCCACTGAGCAAGCAGAAGCTGCATCACTGCCCCAGCCCCACCATACACTTGCTGTGCAACTGCAGCCACTCAAATGGCAGTTGTGAACTCAAGCATCCTTGCACAAGAGTGTAAAGGGGCCCAGGAAGTTCCCCTCTGCCTGCCCCTGCTGCCTAGCTTCTCCCTGCTGTCAGCCTTAGAGCAAAGTTGGGCAGAGCCTGGGTGCTGTCACAATCTAGCTGGATGTGAACATGCTTGGGCCAGTTTTGACATGCTAGGCCCCTGCTGCCTTGGCCCCCTCCAGACTTTGGGAACCAATGAGCAAAGAGAGAAGCCAAGGGGGAACTGAGGGCAGCTCAGCACTGGCCCGAAGGTGCCCCTTGGCACCTACAGCCTGGATGCCATGAACAGCAGCAGGAGGCAGACAGGTTCCTGGGCAGAAGGTGCAGTCCCTGGTGAGGCCCTATCTTTGGGCCAGGTAGGGCCTGAAGGCTGGGGTCCAGGCTGCCATTCCCGTAGACCAGAGTGGGAATTTGTGATGCCTTTTCTGGGCCCACCCATGGCTGCCCATGGACCAATCAGTGTATACTTCCTCTCCTCTGATGCCCATAAAAGCTCCAGGCTTAGCTAGAGCTGAGCAGACATCATACAACCAGCTACAGAGAGGAGACAACCAGGGTCTCCTCTCTGCTGAGAGCTGCGTACGTTGGAATGACCAGCTACAGAGAGGTACTACCCACTCTGGGGCCTCCTCTAAGTGATTCTATTACTCAGTAAAGCTCTTCTTCACCTTGCTCACCCTCCACCTTGTTTGCATACCTTATTGTTCCTGGACGCAGGATAAGAACTTGGGGACCTGCCCAATGGCAGGGCTGAAAGAGCTATAACACAAACAAGGCTGAAACACGCCCCTTGCTCACCACGTTGTGGGTGAAGAGAAGGAGAGAAGAACTGTGACTCTTCAGGGAGCCAAGGCCTGGGAGCTCCCCAAGCCAGGGCTGTGACTCCCTCTTTGGGGCCCTGTGGTTCCTGGAGTCTCCAAGCTTCCAGGCACCCCTGTGTTCCCCAGTGGCAGCTGTGGAAGTTGCTTGCAGCGTACCTGATCTAGCTGTAGGCTTGCAGAGAGCCAGTGCCCATGCCAGCACCTGGAGCTGCCCACCCAGCTGCAGCAACTGGTCTGTCTGTGTCCAGTGGCTGGACCCCATGCTCACTCACTCACACACCTATTGCCACTCCATGCCTGGCTCACCCTTGGCAGGTGTGACATCCAGGCTGGTAGCATGAGCCAAGCGCAGCCAGCCAGGCCTAGTGGATGGAACAAGCCTAGTGGGTCCAAACAAAACTTGGGCAAAGGCACCACCAGCCAGAAGTTTCCAGCCAGAAAAGTGACACTTCAAGGATCTTGCAACAGTTCAAACTAAAGTAGATAGAGACTGGCTTGCTTTCTACATCCTATTTGTTTCCAGCAGGAGCTAAAATTAGTATCTACAAGTTCGTGCTAATAGATACTGACAAATCCTGATTCAATGCCTCTTGGAATAAGGAGCACCCACAGGGAAAAATGTTAACACTAATGAAAGAAGTAAAGTAAGTTCTTAATTAAAAGAAAAAAGAGGAATTACTCATTCAAATTTGCATTTTAAGTTGGCTTCATTGTACATTGTATAGCATATATATTAAATATATGGTTCAAGTATATTTCACTAGTTCCTTTGGTGGGTGAGTCATCCTACTTGATGAGCCACAGCTAAGCACTAATTAAATGAAAGTCCTTGGCTGTGGCTCACTGTAAAGTTTCATTAGTTTTTTTCTTACTTTTATCATTATCCTTGAGCTTATTTTATATACGTTGAGTGTCCACAAATCAGATGAAAGTCATTCTTAAAGGAAAGAAAGATGATTTTTGTTTGTTTGTTTGTTTGAGACAGAGTTTCACTCTTGTTACCCAGGCTGGAGTGCAATGGCGCAATCTCGGCTCACCGCAACCTCTGCCTCCTAGTTTCAGGCAATTCTCCTGCCTCAGCCTCCCGAGTAACTGGGACTACAGGCACGCGCCACCATGCCCAGCTAATTTTTTGTAGTTTTAGTGGAGACGGGGTTTCACCATGTTGACCAGGATGGTCTCGATCTCTTGACCTCGTGATCCACCCGCCTCGGCCTCCCAAAGTGCTGGGATTACAGGCGTGAGATTTTTTTTTTCTACAGTACATTAGTCATGTGTCTTTCCCCTGGCCTGATGAAAAAAAAATTGCTTAAAAATATGTGTATTTTACCTTTGTTACCATTACTGTGTTTCATTACATGTTACAGTTCTCAATTTGTCCTTTTACATTATCAGCTCAATTCAGTTGGTCCATTTAATTTTGGACTATACATCTAAGAAAAAGGAATAATTTGTTTTGCTTTTTCAGAAAGGCCACCTATGAGACCTCTGTGTTTATTTCTTCTGTTAATTTCTTTTGTTTTTCTTCCGTTAATTTCTTCTGTCAAAACTTTTTTTTTTTTTTTTTGAGACAGAGTCTCACTCTGTTTCCCTGGCTGGAGTGCAGTGGTGCAGTCGTGGCTAACTGCAACCTCCACCTCCCGAGTTCAAGTGAGTCTTGTGCCTCAGCCTCCCTAGTAGGTGGGATTATAGGTACCCACCATGATTCCCAGCCAGTTTTTGTATTTTTAGTAGATACAGGGTTTTGCCATGATGTCCAGGCTGGTCTCGAACTCCTGGGCTCAAGTGATCCACCTGCCTCGGCCTCCCAAAGTGCTGGGATTACAGGTGTGATCCACCTTGGTGGGCCAAAAACTTGTATAGTACTCTGTAACATGGTTGTTTTTTTTTTTCCGGAGGCCGAGTTTGGCTCTTGTTGCCCAGGCTGGAGTGCAATGGCACAATCTTGGCTCACTGCAACCTCTCTCTCCAAGTGATTCTCCTGCCTCAGCCTCCCAAATAGCTGGGATTACAGGTATACACCACTGTGCTCAGCTAATTTAGTGGAGATGGGGTTTCACCATGTTGACTAAGCTGGTCTCGAACGCCTGACCTCAGGTGATCCACCCATCTCAGCCTCCCAAAGTGCTGGGATTACAGGTGTGAGCCACCATGCCCTTTTTGTTTTCTTTTTTTTTTTTTCATGCCCTTTTTGTAGCACTTATTGTACTCTTTACCTACTCCAAGTCTGCCTTTTTCAGATTGTGCGCTCCCCTGTGAGACAAGACTTTATTTGAATTTCTATTACTGTATCCTCAGTAGGCCATCAGTGAATGTTTTTTGAATTATATATACATTATTTAAGACAATACTATCATCAGGAGGAACATTCAGTGTTAATAGTACTCAATAATAAATATGACTGAACAGTTCCAGAAAGAAAGCATAGTTTGCTTACATTTTTAGAATAATTGCTTCAACTCTCTACTTCATTTTAAAACTTAGTCACTGTAGTGGGAGTTGAACAATAAGAACACATGGACACAGGGAGGGGAACATCACATACCAGGGCCTGTCAGGGGGTCAGGGGCTAGGGGAGGGATAGCATTAGGAGAAATACCTAATGTAGATGATGGGTTGATGGGTGCAGCAAACCACCGTGGCACATGTATACCTATGTAACAAACTTGCACCTTCTGAACATATACCCCAGAACTTAAGGTATAATTTTACAACTTAGTCACTGTTGTAGATATTGTGTCCCATACAAAAATAACCTACAGTTTGAGAATACTTAATTTCCCTAATGCCAGTTTTCTCATCTATACATGGGATACAATTCCTCTGTATACTGAATTGAATAATACCTATCTTGTCTACTTCTTAGCTTATAAAGTTCTTGGGGAAATATGGTTAAGTGTATGCATGTATTTTTATATTTTTAGGGCAGAATTTCTTTTGACATTTTAGTAAAATATCAGTTTAAAATGCTTATGCATCTTATTTTTCATTCTCTAGCCTGAAAAGATGCTTACACAGTTATTTATACAATACCTTTTCTGTGCACAACATTGTACTAAATCCCAGTGAGAAAGAGAAATACTAAAACAAATTAGGTATAAGATACTGACTCCTCTTAAGGAGCTTATATAACTAGAGAAAAAAAATATTATTAGATTTATATATAGCATTTGACACATGTAATAACATTAGGAAATTAACAGTATATAAATGAATGTAGAGATAAATACTGTAAGAGCTTAGAGGATGCAGAAATGGTGTGGTCTAGAATGACTGGAAACAAATTAATGGATAAAGTAACATAATAATTAGGTTCAAATGATAGGTAGGATCTAAATTAGGTTGAGAAGCATTCCAAGTGAGAGGCATGGCATACCTATCTCTTAATTTGGGAATTAAGTTTAACATCATTTGCAGCATATTCAGATAACAAGTGTTTCACTTTAGAAAATCATTGAATTCCCTAACCAATCAGGGATTTATTTCTTTAAATGTCATCAGGCTCTAAATCCTGTGGAAGTAGCATTGGTGACATGGCACTCTGTGAAGGAAATGGTATTTGAAGGGGGTCCTCATCCATGGATCTTGGAGCCCTCCCGATTTTTTTTTGAATTGAGTGTGGAGAAGACAGAGAAGATTGGAATAGCACAAGTGTGGCTGCCATCTAAGAGAAAACAGAACCAGTACATCTACCGGGTCCAATGCCTGGATTTAGGGGAACAAGTAGGAAAACAGTCTTTTTATAACATTTTCTTTAGTATAATACTTGAAATCCTTTGTACTTTCAGCCATTCCTTTTCAGATTCCACTGAATTTATGTACTAAATAGGGAAATCCTAATTATTGATCAAAGGATTCTTTTTTCCAAAACCTTATTATCCTTAAAATTCAGTTTGCTCATCCGAGAATTCCAGCAGTTCACAAACTAAACAAGATATTTTTTAGTAATGAGCTTATTTCACATTATTTGCAATCACTTTATCAGTATAATTCATTTCCTAGTTTTGTAGACTTGATATTTGGTTTCCCACCTTTAAGAATTCAAGGAAGGGAAACTTTTAAGTATTATCTATGGTTAGCAATTTTGAGGAACTAATTAGATCTACAATGATAAGAATAATAAATATGTTGCCCTCTATCCATTGAATTTTTAAAAATTTTTTTTTTTTTTTTTTTTTTTTTTTGCTTTGTTGCGCAGACT